AGAGAGGCACATGTAACAGCACAGCCAAGAATTACTCTACTGAAAATACTGAGGACTATCATAGTCCTCCTCCCAGTGAGAGGCGGTGGCCAGGTGCAGCGCAGGCTGACTCCACCTTGCTAGTCAGTGCATTGCAGCAGCACGCTGAAGACCAGCAGACTCTGCTCTGGGCTGCGGTACAGTTCCCTCGGTTGACTCTGTTTCTTCAATCCCACCACCTGGTTTGGTGGCAGGGGCAGAGAGGAGATTTTGAACAGCCCAGCTCAGACAGGGGGGCACCTTCTCAAGAGCAGCTCACTCTCTGAGTCTCTGCTGTGGTCAGGCCACAAGGTCACAAAGGGCAGTGCACCTTGGGCTAGAAAAATTATTCCTTCTTTTGGAAGCTGAAAGGAAAAGGAGCTGCCCTGGAAATCCTGAGCCTCAGTACCTGAGCTCCTTTAGAGTAGAAAATGTGTTCAGACTGACTAGCTTCTTCTGGTTTTCAGTCTAAGTCCCAAGAAAGAGTTAGTACGGTACTACTAACTTGCTTTACTGATGAAATCTTCAAAAAATCTCCAAAAGCTAAATTTTCATTCACTCTATTGATTTTTTTTTTAAATTGCATGTCAGTGCCTGTGCCAAACATCAGCAGTCAATACAGGACTTAGATGATAACAAATGTAACGTTAATTACACGGTTATTGTTACTAATTTTTTAATAAGCTCTGTATATGCAATCAAGTAATAAAGCAAAACTGAGGCTCTTTGCAAAGCATACTGTTCCCAAGGAAGCACACAAGAAGCCAGAAAAATCTCCAGAAAGGGCTCCAGACATTGGGGTGAGGTTCCTAACGTTGATCCCCAGGTCTTCTAACACTGCAGCCACGGTAGCTAATCTAGTAGCCTGCCAAAAGATACTGGCAAAGACAGTTACTGGCAAAGAGTAGAGCAACACATAAGGACACCCAGACTCTCTCCATCCATAATACCCCAGCCCCATGCTCACAACCAGTCTCAAACCACTAAGGAGAAGCAAAGCAGCTATCTAGAGAAATATTTCTTTGCCTCCCCACCAAAACCCTGTTGCTCACGGCAGAATTTCCACTTCTCTGTATGTTAAATCGTTATGCTGCAATATTTCACACCTCAGCAGGAGCAGAAGCCTTATGCATTAGGAAAGGGAAAGAATTCCTGCTCCCCCTTTTGTATCAGCCTTGGAAGAGTCTAAGATAAAACACATCAAAAAGCTCTGATGATTTTATATGCAGGAGGATGACATTATTTTAGAGGATTCCCCCTGCCCTATAAAGCTGGACTTAAGATCAGTAAGGCGCCTGGATTTGTTGCTGAAGGGATGCAGACAATGTGACTGGTACAGTGAGCTAAAATGTCCTAAAACATTTCTAAAATACTTCATAATGCCAGACACAATCATATCTTTAATACTAACACACGACAGCATAAAGGGTTTACCAACATGAATTGCAATATGTTGCCTTATCCCTGCATGACAGGGTTACTATATGGAGCTTGTTCCCAACAACAAAGCTGATAAAGCCAGATGCCATCCCTGCCAGCACGCATTGTATATCTGGGGCAACTTAGGGACCTGCTGATTGAAGGAAATCCTCCTCCTACCAAACACAGACTGGCAGCAGAAATGCTTTGCGGCAATTTTTTTCAGTCTTAATGACTGTAACAGCTTCTGCAATCTTTGTAAGGGAAGTGGACGAAAAGGAGCAGGAGATTGTCGCTCACCCTCTGGCCATATTACGAAAGGAACCGTGCAGTGAGGGATGCTTAGGAAGCCTCGGGGAAGGGAGATAAGGGAACAGAGGGGAGGAACATGGACTTTAGAGATACACCCCCCCAGTCCGCCTATGGGAGTCTGAAAGAAAGTATCTGAACGCCGATCTTTCTTAATACGCCTGAGTGTTAGAAAAGTTTGGCTTTCTGTCTGAGTCTTGCAACATGAATCCACTCCTAGTCAGCAGGTGGTACTCATAAGCAAGCCCCTTTTCCTGGACTAAAACTGGCCGCCAGCAGGGAGGACGCAGCTCAATAGGGACAGCACAGCGATGTCTGCTCTGGGATGCAGACATCGGTTAATGTTAGTGGTGGGGAGGGGTCGGGGAACCGTCGGCCCTCGTCAGTTCAAACCTGTCCAGTTTCAGGACCTGACCCAAACGGTCTCACTTACACAGTACTTCTGGAGAAGAATTTTGGTGGAGTCCAATTGCAGGTGCAGTATGTAGGGCTGCCTGTCAGGAGAAGAAATGCTGCTTGGGGAAGGAGACACAACATCTGTCCTAAATCTTCCTTATATAGGGCTTTTTTCCCCCCACTTTTTAAAGCATCTATTTGGTATTTACCTCAAAAACAGAGCCTCCATGCTCTGCAAACACAGGCCAACAAAATGACTGAAGCAGTTCTGGAACAAGGCATCCAGAATATGATGAGAAGGGGAGGGGAAAAAATTAAAGGGAAGAAAAAACCAGCCAGCCCAGCAAACGGCATTTAAGTCTCTCTCTTCTCCTCTCATTCCCTTGTTCAGTCATTTCTGTCCTGCTTTGAGTGTGCTGTTTTTATCTTCCTTGCTCTCATATAAAAGCCTAGCTCCCCTAGTGAGTGTGCAGATGATGATTTGGCATTGTCCAGGACCATTATGCTGTCAGCTCTCAAAGAAAAAAAGGCTTGTAAAAATCCTGTAGTCAGACAAAGGCAGAGCGTGCGGCTCAGGACAGTTTGTACTGCCGCCTGCTAATAACCTTTCTGAACAATAGCTTACATGGAAAGATCTTCCACAGAACATGAAATTCCTCTTTCAGCTTCACCTTCACTTACTCCTAATTACTGTTCCACTCTCAGCTATACGCATGCTACATATGCAAATCCTCTTTCAACCTCTTTTGCACAGAAACAGAGGTGCACCTCCCTCCCCCTGGTCCTGTTCTAGCGCCATCCAACACTACCCTTGCACAATCCACCACACGCTCACTACTACTCCCAGTTCAGTCTAGCTACATGCAAATTCATTCACACACATGGTCTCCATCACTCCCAGCAATTTGGCTCCTGCTCTGCTCTCAGGTATATGGAGCTCGGCTTAACACATGCTACTTTTCTTTCTTCACTTATTCAGGAATAGAAATTTGAAGGAAAATGAAGAAGATGCCCAAGAAAGCCGTTTCTGTTGAAGACCAAAGATAGGATCAACAGCTTTTTCCAAAGCACAGAAAATCAGCAAGTTTTCTTGAGGCAACTTAAAGAGGGAAGAACTGCCACGTGCATCAGTGGTGTGAGCAGATAATTGACCCAACTTCCCCTGAGCCCCAGCGGTGTTGGGTCCATTGCAGCCCAAGCTATACAGGCTGGTTCTTCTGCTCAGCTTGTAGAGACTCAGGCCCTGACAGAGGAACTGAGGTTACCTATCTATCTCAGACAATTTATGACATGACGATCTCCAGCGTTTGCTCTGGTGCAGATTACCAGCTCCATGACAGCGCCAACAGGAATATGTGCATTATGTGCCAGTGCATCAGCCGTCCCTGTTTACAGCATTGGACCTAGTGGGTTTGGGCTAAGATGCTGGACAGTGAAACTAAGCTGAAGTGTGGTCATGTCTGTCTTTCTGGCAGCTCAGCTATAGCAAAAGTTCCTCACTCCTGTCATGTACACAGCCAGCTACTGGCATCTCTGCTTTCACAGAATCATAGAATCGTTTAGGTTGGAAAAGACCTTTAAGATCATCGAGTCCAACCGTAAACCTAACACTGCCAAGTCCACCACTAAATCA